TTTCAGGACAAAATGTCCAAGACCTCTAACCCTGTACTCAAGGCCATGTGTGACCTGGTCCATGCCTCACTCTCCATCCATGTCTTAGGCCACACAGCTGCCTACTCACCATGATTCAACCACACTGGCCTTCTCTAAGTTCTTCAAATGGGCCTGATCCCTCCTGTCTCAGAGACTTTGCACATGCTATTCCCTCTGCTTGAATGACCATCTTATTTTTTTGCATTTATTCTTCAGATCTTAGCTGAAACTACACCTCTTCTGGAAAGGCTTCCCGGAAGCCTTTCAAGCCAAGCCTCTGTTACATACTCTTTCATCCCCTATATCTTATCTTCATGGCATTAGTGTTAGTGAAACTAGTTAATGAGGAGAGAGACACTTTTGATCAGGAAGCATCTTTAAGCCACTAGTAGGAGAAGAGTGAAAAGGACCACATGAAGCATGCCAAGTGAAGCATCAGCTCCCCCTACTCCTGCTTCTATACCCACTCATGCTTAGCTTCTAGTTAGATCTACAGAGCACAGCTGGACCTCATACTCAGGCCCCAGAATGAAGCAAAGGTGGAAACAGAGATGGAACCTGTGGCTCTAAGACTGTGATGGGCATCCATCAAGTCCCTGACCTGTGCTGAGTAGGAGTCATGAAATGGGCACTTTTGGTCTGAATGGAATGTTCTCCCTTTATCTTGAGGACAGAGGGAAATTTTGATTCCATTTCCTGACACTCCTCATACACAATCTAGAAACAAGACACAGGAAGCAGCCTCAGGCATCCTCTTAAGAACTTAATGCCACTTGAAAAGTTTTCCTCTGGTTTGCACTCTTGCACTCTTCCATGACCAGGAGCTGCCTTCGGAAGGCAATGGAAGAAAATGGGTCTGTGTCTGGATCACCTTCCATAAAATCAAGAAATAAACCAGCCAGGAAAGGGATACTTTACTTAACCTTAGGTTTTCAGGTTTCTAAGAAGCTTGAAGTAAAGCTATGCCTTCTGAGAGAATGGAGATAAATAAAAGACATGGAAGAAGTTGACCCAAAAGGATGGAGATGCTATTCCTCAGCTGTTTCTGAGAATGGGCCATTTCTGGATCTGCTTGATCTTTAAGATATGACTGCCATAGACAAGGGACTTTCCAGGTGGCTCAGTGGTAAAGAACCACCTACCAAATACAGGGGATAGAGGAGACATGGGTTCAGTCTCTGGGTCAGGAAGATCCCCTGCAGCAGGAAATGGCAGCCCACTCCAGTATTCTTGCCTGTGAAGTCCTATGGACAGAGGAACCTGGTGGGATACAGTCCATGGGTCACAAAAAGTTGAGCACACATGCATGGCACAGACAAGACTCAAGTATTATACCAAGTGTGATACCAGCCTGGAGGCCCCAAGGAAGAGGGAGCCAACTGTCACCGAGGAAGAGAAAGGTTTCATGTCAAGGTGATACATGGAGAATGGGCTAAAAAGATGTATTTTCAGGAAGCAAAGGAGACACAGAGAAATGGAAGACATTGGACCTTATGTTCACCCAAAGTCAACTACATATTAAGCATGGAATTGGGGTCAGCTTAGCTGGCTACTCCTGTTGCTGACATGGAAGAAGGTGTATTGAGAGACAGTGGATTAGAGGGAGGCGGGATGATGATGATAGAGGTGAAGAAGGCAGAGAGAGATTGTGGGAGGCTTTAGATGCCCTGCTCAAGAGACTAGAGAGCATCATGTAGGAAAGTGGGGGCACTGGAGGGTTTTTAAGCCAAGGAATGATTCTCTGTCCCAAAGCTCCAGTTCTGATGGCAAGTGGTATGTGCATTCCAGATGGTAGCAAAGTGGAGATGCTTATAAGACAATGGCAATAAATCAGGCAAGAGATGATAAGGAGTGTTTGTTCTGGCAATGCATATATTAAAATTAGAAGGATACAAAGAAAATTTTCTTGGCCCCCGGAATAACGATGACACATTAATTTGTGAGTTCATGCATATTTCTGTGCTTAATGGATACAAAGTTTCAGCTGGGGAAAATGAGAAAGTTTTGGAGATGGATGATAGTGATAGTTGTACAGCAATGTCAGTGTACTTAATGCGGCCAAACTGTACACTTAAAAAATGGATAAAATAGTAAATTTTATGTTATACTTATTTCATCACAATAAAAAGGTTCCAGATATTAAACAAGAAGAGACTGTAAGGGTCTGAAGTAATGCTGAAGAGCAGAAGTGGAAAGGAAGGTACAGATGATGGAGACATTTTGAAGTGACAATTCACAAAATTTGCTGATTAATTAGATGAAAGGAAGAAGGAACCCATGTCTTCCTTCTTCCTTCAGCAAGAAAGAAATAAATGTATTCACAGTTCTCTCTGATGTATGACTGTTACATCCTCAGAAGTGGCCGGATTTGGGAAATAAAATAAGGGGGCATCCTACTTTTTAGTTTTCCTGTCTAACAGTAAAGCTGCTCCTGGCTTTCTACTTGCCTGACTGATCCTAGCGAGACAAGGTAGGGGTGACTAAAGCCCAAACCCCTAACACATAAAACCTTTCTTAATTTTCCATTGTGTATATGGTTGATACTCAATAAATACTTAAATTATTGATCAATTAAGCAGCGGGGTTGCAACTGTGGTACTCAATTACACTTGATGATATTGTAACCTTTCCTTGTATTTCATTTATCTGGGGAAAAGTTTACTTGATCTAACAAATATTCAACTTAGGGAAAAGAATAGATTCACTAGCAATTTGCTTTCTCATTTTTTCTTTAATGTAGACAAACAATTTCCAGCAAAGTCCTGGGCAGGTATAGGAGGGGTGAGGATGCTACTCAAAGACCCTGAGTTTTCCTGGCAGACTCAGAGGAAGTTCTCTGAGCAGGGAAAAGCAATAAGGAAGGTTTTACCATAGTCATTAATTGAGTTATGTTACAGAGATCATTAAAAGCAATTAGTGCTTTGTCACCTAGTATGAACTAGAACTCTGATTTTTTTTTTTTAACCAAGTGATTCTCAAGAGGGATGTTAGTGCAGTTTTAAAATGAAGCAATGCTTTGTCTCAAAGTTTTTAGTCAAGGTTCTTGGTATATTAGAAATGTCAAATAACTAATTAAAGAAGGGTATGTTTATATTTATCAAAGGGGATAAAGGATACAAAATTTGCTAATGCTTTTGAGTCATTAGTCCTTTTTTCCTGTTAGGTGCAGATTTTGTTGCTGTTGTTGTTTAGTTGCTCGGTCGTGTCTGACTCTGCGAACCCATGGACTATAGCGCACCAGGCTCCTCTGTCCATGGGATTTCCCAGGCAAGAATACTGGACTGGGTTGCCATTTCCTCTTCCAGGGGATCTTCCTAACCCAGGGATCAAACCCACGTCTCCTTTATTGTAGGCGAATTCTTTACTACTGAGTCACCAGGGAAGCCCCTAGGTGCAAATTACACCATTTAATAGTAGGTGTGATAGCATGTGAAAAATGAAGAAGGGAGGGAAAGAAGATGATATTCATTGAGCTTCTGATAATTTTAAAACACTGTGTATAGCACTTTAAAGTTTGTCACATTTGATCCCTAAAAAAACTCTTTACGTTTGCATTATTAACTTGATTTGATGGTCTAAACTAAGACCCAGTCTTTCAGTGGGTTCTGGCTGCTATGACAGAACACCACAGAGTAGGTGTCTTGCAAACAACAGAAACACATTTCTCATGGTACTGGAGGCTGGAAGTCTGGAATTAGGTTGCCACTTCAGTTGGGTGGGGCCTCCCTGGTGGCTCAGTGGTAAAGAATCCGCCTGCAATGCAGGAGATGCAGGTTTGACCCCTAGGTTGGGAAGATCCCCTGGAGAAGGAAATGGCAATCCACTCCAGTATTCTTGCCTGGAAAGCCCATGGACAGAGGAACTTGGCGGGCTACAGTCCATGGGGTCGCAAAGGAGTAGGACATGAATTAGCACCTGAGCATGAGCAGGAGCACAGTTGGGTGAGGGCTCTCTTCCAGGCTGCAGGCTTCTCCTTGTAGCCTCACACGACAAGAATGTCAAGAGAATTCTGTGGGAATATCCTCTTACAAGGACATTAATCCCACTCATGAGGATGCCACCCTCCACATGACCCAAGCACCTCCCAAAAGCCCCATATCCTGATAACACCACACTGGACAGTAGGATTTCAACATATAAGTTTGGGGGGGAGGGACACAACATTCTCCCGATTTCACACAGTGTATTAGTTATCTATTTCTGGGTAACACATCATTATTTTAAGTCACCAGGTTCATGATAATCTATCTCTTAATGGGTTCGGGTTGCTATGACTTATTATCTCTCAGTTTCTGTGGGTCAGAGTCTGGACACAGTTTAACTGGGTCCTCTGCTTAGGTGTCTGCCAGGGCTGGGGCGTTATCAGAGGCTCAAGTAAGGAAGGATTTTCCTCCAAGTTTCCCTGGACTTCTGGCAGAATTGATTTCTTGGGGCTAACGGACTCACAAAAGCTTGCTTCTTCAAAGCTAGCAATGCACTAGAGACACTAGCAAGACAGATCCTACACACTTATGTAATCATAGACATCCCATCACTTTCACCCCAATGCACTGATAAGCAAGTCACAGGTCTGGCCACACTCAAGGGGAGAGGATGACACAGTGATGTGAACACCTGAGGCAGGAATTATGGAGCCAAGGAAAGCCTGTCAAGGCCAAACAACCAGCAAATAATAGAGCTAGTTACAAATCTAAATTTTTCTGACCCCAAACCCTGTGTTTGGATTCCAATCTCAGCTGTACCTCTGACCATCTGAATTATCTTGGAGAAATCACTTCATTTCACCCAGTCCAGGCCTCCTGACTTAAAAAAAAAAAAGAAGTGGCTGCCATCTATTGTGACTCTGTAATCAGGAAGGATGGGGGGCAGACCATGGTTGAGAGTCCCTTGCCTCCATATCTCACACTTGGGGAACTGGAGTGGTCCTCAGAGTGGGGACCCATCAGCCACTTTAATACTATCTTTGGTCCTTTCTGCAGTGTCATCTATGCCATTGTGATCAAAACTATTTGGGTCAAAAGCAAAGCCTATGAGACAGTGATTTCCAACTGCTCAGGTAAGTCTTTCATCTGCATCACTAAATCCTTAAGCTAATTTTGCTTCTGCAGAGGCTTTTCTCTAGCAAACATGAGCTGGGGTTTTACAGTTATAACAAGCCTGCTGTTATATCAGGGCCCAGCTGGCAGGTCAGACCCCCCAAAAGCTGTTTCAGGCAGGCTTTGCCTTCTCCACATGGCTCTCCCAAAATCTGAGGAAGGAGGACTTTGGGTCTAGCTGAGCTGTACCAGCAGAGCCCCTCGAGACAGCTCTAAGCCAGGGTCTGAGGGTAACCCTATCTGGTGGCTTTGCAGAGAGGCACCCAAGAGGACTCTGAGATAAAAGAGACGACCATGAAGGGAGGAGGCCACATGTTCAGCAAAACATGATGACAGACATTTCTACTTGGCTTAAACTCACAGAAAAACTGTCATCTAACCACAGAACAGTCCTGGGCCCTAGGACAGTCAAGGCAGAATACATACCCTCCCCATGGTTTGAGCATACCCCACACAGCAGAACAAGCCCAAGACTGCCTGCTACAGCCCTTCCCCAAATCCCATTTCAGCTACCTTACTGCTGAGCACCACCTACACAATAGGTGTGGAGACTTGGAGGCCCATCTGCTTCCCAGGCAGACACCGCTGGGCCTCTGAGAACAACCTGGAGAGAACACAGCACACCAACATGCCCGTGAGAGAAGAGAAGGTCTCCTGGGCATCTAATTACTATAAAATGGCTAGTTCTGAAAAAGGAAACCATGGAATTTCCATGGACCAAGACCATACATATATATTCATTTTGCAAAAATTATCATCCATCTTTTACAAATGGAAATCATATTAACTTTTTTTTCATTTATTTTTATTCATTGGAGGCTAATTACTTTACAATATTGTAGTGCTTTTTGCTATACATTGACATGAATCAGCCACGGATTTCCATGTGTTCCCCATCCCGATCCCCCCTCCTGCCTCCCTCTCCATCCCATCCCTCTGGGTCTTCCCAGTGCACCTGCCCTAAGCACCCATCTCATGCATCCAACCTGGGCTGGTGATCTGTTTCACCCTAAATATACATGTTTCGATGCTGTTCTCTTGAAACATCCCACCCTCGCCTTCTCCCAGAGTCCACAAGTCTGTTCTATACATCTGAGTCTCTTTTTCCATTTTGCATATAGGGTTATCGTTACCATCTTTCTAAAGTCCATATATATGTGTTACTATACTGTAATGGTCTTTATCTTTCTGGCTTACTTCGCTCTGTATAATGGGCTCCAGTTTCATCCATCTCATTAGAACTGATTCAAATGAATTCTTTTTAGTGGCTGAGTAATATTCCATGGTGTATATGTACCACAGCTTCCTCATCCATTCGTCTGCTGATGGGCATCTGGGTTGCTTCCATGACCTGGCTATTATAAACAGTGCTGTGATGAACATTGGGGTGCACGTGTCTCTTTCAGATCTGGTTTCCTCGGTGTGTATGCCCAGAAGTGGGATTGCTGGGTCATATGGCAGTTCTATTTCCAGCTTTTTAAGGAATCTCCACACTGTTCTCCATAGCGGCTGTACTAGTTTGCATTCCCACCAACAGTGTAAGAGGGTTCCCTTTTCTCCACACCCTCTCCAGCATTTATTGCTTGTAGACTTTTGGATAGCAGCCATTCTGACTGGTGTGTGATGGTACCTCACTGAGGTTTTGATTTGCATTTCTCTGATAATGAGTGATGTTGAGCATATTTTCATGTGTTTGTTAGCCATCTGTATGTCTTCTTTGGAGAAATGTCTGTTTAGGTCTTTGGCTCATTTTTTGATTGGGTCATTTATTTTTCTGGAATTGAGCTGCAGGAGTTGCTTGTATATTTTTGAGATTAATCCTTTGTCTGTTGCTTCATTTGCTATTATTTTCTCCCATTCTGAAGGCTGTCTTTTCACTTTGTTTATAGTTTCCTTTGTTGTGCAAAAGCCTTTAAGTTTCATTAGGTCCCATTTGTTTATTTTTGCTTTTATTTCCAATATTCTGGGAGGTGGGTCATAGAGGATCCTGCTGTGATTTATGTCGGAGAGTGTTTTGCCTATGTTCTCCTCTAGGAGTTTTATAGTTTCTGGTCTTACATTTAGAGCTTTAATCCATTTTGAGTTTATTTTTGTGTATGGTGTTAGAAAGTGTTCTAGTTTCATTCTTTCACAAGTGGTTGACCAGTTTTCCCAGCACCACTTGTTAAAGAGGTTGTCTTTTTTCCATTGTGTATCCTTGCCTCCTTTGTCGAAGATAAGGTGTCCATAGGTTCGTGGATTTATCTCTGAGCTTTCTATTCTGTTCCATTGATCTATATTTCTGTCTTTGTGCCAGTACCATACTGTCTTGATGACTGTGGCTTTGTAGTATAGTCTGAAGTCAGGCAGGTTGATTCCTCCAGTTCCATTCTTCTTTCTCAAGATTGCTTTGGCTATTCGAGGTTTTTTGTATTTCCATACAAATTGTGAAATTATTTATTCTAGTTCTGTGAATACCATTGGTAGCTTGATAGGGATTGCATTGAATCTATAGATTGCTTTGGGTAGTATACTCATTTTCACAATATTGATTCTTCCAATCCATGAACACGGTATCATATTAACTTTAAATTATACCTATTTATATAGACATATCATTGCATAGCCTGGGAAGGTTTTCAATTGAGTTGTCACTTAACAGAGTTCATGATCCTAGTTTGATAGCTCAAGTGAGGTAGGACCTGAGGGTTTTGGAAAGCCCAGAGCTCTAGGTTGGAGGGGGAACACAGGGAAAAGGAGGGTGTTTTAGTGTGCTCAGGCTGTCATAACAATATACCACAGTGAGTGGCTTAAACAATAAATTTATTTTATCACAGTTCTAGAGACTGGAAACCCAAGATTGAGGTACCAGTCAATGCCGTTCCTGGTAAGAGCTCTCTTCTTGGATTGCAGATGGCCTTGCTGGCTTCTTGCTATCTACTCACAAAGCAGAGAGGAGAGACAGAAATTTTTCTACTGTCTCTTCTTATCAGGGCACTAATTCCATTGTAAGATTCCTGTTTTCATCTAACTCTATTTCCCAAAGGCCCCATCCCCAAATATCAATACCATCACATTGGGAGGTTAAGTCTTCAACTTATGAATTTTGTGATAACACAAATATACAGTGCATAACAGGGGAAGAGTCAGTGGGAAAAGTGAGGAGAGAGAGAGAGACAGTGGAAATAAACATATGCTAACCAGTGGGAATAGACAGGCTATTTATTCAAAGCTTGCTATAGCAAGGGAATCAGCCTCCATCACTTGTCTTTTGACAGAAACACAAAATCAGTCAGAGGAGTGGTAAAGTCTCAGACGTGCCCTGATTGGGGGCTGTTGTTATGGGGAACCTGTGAGTGTGCTGATTAAAAGCACAGCATCCTGTGTGATGGGTTAGGCATGCATATTTGGCTTTCTCTGGTTGGTTTTAAGTTCACAATAGGGACAAAAATTAAAGAGCTATCAGTCAGTAGTCAAGTCTTGGGTATTTGTGGTAGACTGTTCCAGGAGGTATTATTCAGTTTATGGACTCTGGGTTAGAAACAGTGGTCTGACTTCCTACAAGTCTGGCTTGCATAGAGTAGGTTGGTTTCCTTGACTGGTTACTGTAATGGGTTGGTTTCCTGGGATGGTTGCCTGCAGAGTGTGGGTCAAAGCTCCATCTTAAATACGGTCTGGCTACCATCCATTTGCTTGCCTAGTCTGTCAGCACAGACTGACAAGGCAGAGAGAGAGAGTGCATCTACTGTCAGCCACTTCTGGGATCTTTCCATACTCCCTGAATCCTTACACAACTCGGGAAGGTGGTGTCATCATTTCTCTCTTACAAATGGAAGACAGGCTCAAAGGTTAAGCAATGTGCTTGTTTTCATAGGTAGCTCATGACATAGCAGGAATCAAATGCACACATGACTAGCTAGAAAGCCTATGTTTTCTCTCCCACATCAGGCTGCCTCTCGGAAGAAAGAACATTACAGAACGGAAGGTGGTGAATGACTGAAAAAAGAGCTCAATTTTTAAACGTTTTTTTTTTTTATTATAAAACTCAAACTCAAGATTGTTGGCATGGCTGTCACCTGCCAGCCTCTCTGCTGAGCTCTGCCTTCAGCGCACTCTTCCAGAATCATCTCCTGAAGTGTTTTGATGTATTTAAAAATCTAAAAGGTGACCTAATTTTGCTTAAGTAGGCTGAGGTCTTCCTGTACTTTCAGATTTAAATCAGATTGGTTTAAACCCTTGCCTCTGATTTCTGCCAGTTCCAGGAGACTGGTGTGTCCTCTCTCACTGTCCCTCTGAGCTCTCACCCCACGGTCTCACCTCCAACAGCTCTTCTGTTCCCTCTGCTCTTGGTCCAATGAATTATGGAATCCATCTCATTTCCTTAGGCTTGAAGTGATGAAGAGTTTCCACATTCTGTCAGTGACCCCACCACCTGCGGGATCTCCCACTTTTATCTCAGCAGGCCTTTTACATCTGTGATTACCCTGTCTCTCTCCAGAGTCCTTCAAATCTCCCTGCTACTCAATTTTCTAGTTCCTGCACTCTTGGGTTCCCCCATCCTCCAGTCCCTGAGATTTTATAAAGCTGCAAAGAGATCCATTTTTCACTGACATATGCTATACCTCTCCTCTCCAAAGGTGGAAATGGCTACAATCAGTTTTTATTCTCTAGTACAAGTTTATATGTCCATCATATCAATTTTTTAGTTGTCTATATTTTTTGTATCAGCATCACTGACCCTCTTCTGGAATGAGGAGCAGAGAGTAGTTCCAAAAAGCCTGTGTACTTTCTGTATCTTATTCATAAGCAGCTTGGTTTTCAATCTCATTATAGCCAAGTAACTCTAGAGTTGGCTAGTAAAAAGGGTTTCCACTGGTTTTAGTATTCCAGGATTATTGCCCATCAACAAGCGGAAATAAGCAATGATTAGTGTGAACAGAAGCTAACTTTGTAAACACGGCTGCAAAATTCAAGTTTCAGA